CGATCTTTTATTTTGCGCATGGATGCTTTTGACATTGGTCTTAGTGTGTTGATGCAAGAGAGTTCGTGTGTGCTTGGTCAGTGCCATCCCATTGCATATATAAGCCATACAATTAGTAGAGATGAACTATTCCATAATAAAGAAGGAGTGTTTAGCAATAGTCTCGGGTTTTGAGAAACTTTATGCATATCTACATAGTTCTCAGACATTACTTGAAGGTGACCATGCTGCTGTTACTTCATTATTGAAGCGGAAGAACCTGGTTAGTCGTACTGCTTGATGGGCTTTAAAGCTTCAGATATATGATTTTGATGTTGTTTATCACCTAGGGAGTTCTATGGTTGATGGTAATACCCTTTCTCGAGCTCTTCTTTCTTTTCCACTTTCTTTTCCACTTTCTTCTCATGTTTCTGACGAATCTATTATTCCAGCATCTGTGGATTTTCTAGACAAAGATTCAATACCATCGATGGTTGCTGTACTTGATGTTTAGTGTCCATAAGGCATAAAGCAAGATCTACCTTCTTTTGATAAAGTGATGCAAGATTTTCAAACCCATCTCGAAGCCTTCAAATCTATGGCTCAATCTTTTGAGCCTCGTGAACCTGTTGATGACTTGCCTTTCTGGCATTTACATTTTCAATATCACCTTGACGATGGCCTTTTTTATTTTGTGGGGACGGATCTTGATGATTATTTATAATTAGTGGTGCCTTCTATCTTTATTCCGCAGTTTCTACATGCCTACCATGATTCTCTCTTATTCTAGGTGGGCATATGGGACATCGTCGTGTAACTGAGAAGCTACACAGGTCTTTCTATTAGCTAGAGATGTTACGTAATATTATCCGGTATATGCGTAGCTGCATTTGGTGCCAAACTCATAATACTCCCCTTTGTGTTGCGGAAGGACGGTTGAAGTTAATTGCAATTTCCTATTCGTTTAAGTTGGTGGTGTTTGATCTTATGGGACCTTTTCCATAGTCGATTGATGGTAATGAGTATGTTATTATTGCTTCTGGCTACTTGACTCGTTAGGTGGAAGTTGGTGCTCTTGCTAGCGCCTTTGCAACTGCTATTGGATACTTCCTCTTTAATCAAGTGGTGTTCTAGCATTCTTGTCTAGAGTGGATTCTTTCGGATAATAGTCTTAGGCATTTCATGTTTTGACGTCTCGGTTGGGGATACGTTACACTTTCACTAGTGCTTATCATCCATAATCAAATGGTCTAGTGGAACGGTTCGTTCAGACATTCAAATGGATGATTGCGAAGTATGTGAACTTTTAGCATTCGGATTAAAATGGTTATTTGCCGTCTCTTCGGTATGTATATGTCACAGGGGTGTAGAGTTCTGTTGGTGCTTCACCATATAAACTTCTATATGGTCATAATCTAATATTACCAACGGAGCTGGGTTTACCTTCATGATTGCCACGAGCTACCGATACTAGGTCGTGAGATCAGTATTTGATGAGTATTCTTCCACTTGTTTGAGCAAAGTCTGCCAAACACTCAAGTTAGGTATAAGTGGGATAATAATAACATTACAACTCTTATCATCATCCACCTACAGAGTACAAAATAGATGATTTAGTGTTAGTTTGTTTTCCCCATCTTATGGTATGTGGTTTATCTAAAAGGCTCCTTATGCAGTGGAAAGGACAATATCAAATGTTACAACAAGCATACAAAGGGATCAGGAGTAATTAATACCACCTACAGATCTACCAATGACAAAACGATGCAAAGCATACAATGGACAGACCATTGTGAAAAGAATATCTCAAGAAAAGCCGACTTAAAGCTAAGATGGAATCTTTTGGTGGTGTCACCCGTGGTACAAAGGAATCCCCGAGCAAAAGATCCGAGGTTTGATTCCCAGGAAGATTATGCTTGAATGGATTTGCTGCTTTTTCATCAATGGTTTGAAGAATCTCACTTTGAAGTGCGTGTCCTCTGCGCCATCGCAAAAGAATTTCCACAGCCAAGTTGGGAGGAGAAATTTCCGCGAGGAAGCAAAGAGCCTGGAAAATTCTAGTATGTTCCAAGTAGCGGCGAAGGCGGCCACGTCATTGACTTGGTTTGGCCGGCAAGTTTTGTCCGTCGCATCGGAGCCCTTGGATGCCGTCCCCAATCGACGGCGCCTGTTCCATCCTCGCGTATTTATAAATGGTGCGTCCATGCCCCAACCTCACCAGTTCTTTGATTCATTTTTTAGGGTTTCTTTGATTCTTTGATTTTTAGAGAACGATGCAGATCTTTGTGAAGACTCTCACCGGCAAGACGATCACGCTCGAGGTCGAGAGCTCCGACACGATCGATAATGTTAAGTCGAAGATCCAGGATAAGGAGGGAATTCCTCCGGACCAGCAGCGATTGATCTTTGCCGGCAAGCAGCTCGAGGAGGGGCGCACGCTCGCGGATTACAACATCCAAAAGGAGTCGACCTTGCATCTGGTGCTGCGCCTTCGAGGAGGTATGCAAATTTTCGTCAAGACCCTAACGGGGAAGACGATTACGCTCGAGGTGGAGAGCTCCGACACGATCGACAACGTTAAGACCAAGATCCAGGACAAGGAAGGCATCCCTCCGGACCAGCAGCGATTGATCTTTGCCGGCAAGCAGCTAGAAGATGGCCGGACTCTGGCCGACTACAACATCCAAAAGGAATCCACGCTCCATTTGGTCCTTCGTCTTCGCGGGGGTATGCAAATCTTCGTCAAGACCTTGACGGGGAAGACGATCACGCTCGAGGTGGAGAGCTCCGACACAATTGACAACGTGAAGACCAAGATCCAGGACAAGGAAGGTATCCCCCCGGACCAGCAGCGTTTGATCTTTGCGGGCAAGCAGCTAGAAGATGGCCGGACTCTGGCCGACTACAACATCCAGAAGGAGTCGACGCTCCATTTGGTCCTTCGCCTTCGTGGAGGTATGCAAATTTTCGTCAAGACCCTCACAGGGAAGACGATCACCTTGGAGGTGGAGAGCTCGGACACGATCGACAACGTGAAGACCAAGATCCAGGACAAGGAAGGCATCCCCCCGGACCAGCAGCGATTGATCTTCGCAGGCAAGCAGCTTGAGGACGGCCGCACTCTTGCGGACTACAACATCCAAAAGGAGTCTACGCTTCACCTGGTTTTGCGTCTCCGTGGTGGCATGCAAATCTTCGTGAAGACTCTCACTGGCAAGACGATCACCTTGGAGGTAGAGAGCTCCGACACGATTGACAACGTTAAGACCAAGATCCAGGACAAGGAGGGCATTCCACCGGACCAGCAGAGGCTCATCTTCGCTGGCAAGCAGCTCGAGGATGGCCGGACTCTTGCTGATTACAACATCCAGAAGGAGTCGACGCTCCATTTGGTTCTGCGTCTTCGTGGAGGGCAGTGAAAAGTTTGCTTGTATTCACAATTCCTTGACTGATTCGAGCAAGGAAGTAGAATAAACTAGATTTCTTCTACACGAATTCTTGAATGGAAGAACAAGCTTGATTTACACGTCTATCACGACTTGTTCCTTCGTTTTCTTCTTGAATGTCCTGTATCGCTTGTTGTTGATCTTTGTCCTCTCTGGTGGTGGCGGTGGCGGTGGCGGTGGCAGTGGCGATGGTGGTGATTGAGCTGCGGTTTTAGTGGCCTCTTGCTTGGCCAGTTCTTGCTCCTCTTCGGCCTTGGCAAACACATCCTTGAAAACCACTTGGGGAACGTAATAGTTTGTAAACCAAAAGAAGAATATCAACATGGCATTGCCATGCCTCCTCCTGACATTCCTCCAGATCCCGGCCCATATACAAAAGAATTTTGATGGTCTTTTATTATTCCAAGAGGAGGAGGGCCAAATGTATAATTACAATGTTGTATATTAATATTAACATAGTAGGATTTTGGTAGCCGTCGAATTGGTTTCAATTTGAACCATTTGCTCCTGTATATAAGTTTTTGGCTAATTAATATGCACATTTTATGTATTCCCTTTTTCTATTCAAAGCACTCACAATAATTAAAATGCTCTAAATTTATCTATAAGCTTTAAAAAAATTTTTTTTAAATCACCTTAATGTGTCATTTTGTAAATCATGAGTGTAAATGAAAAATATTTTGCGAATGCAAATGTACTGTTAAATAAGAAATTAGATAATTATAGAGGTTCTAAATAATAACAATCTAATGGGTTGGGCTAATAATATTTATAAATAGCCTGCAAAATTGTATGATTAAAATTCTCTTAACAATCTCCAGCTCCAGGAGATTGATGCACGGGCAAGCAAAGGACCATAGGATAAACGAAAGATGGTATTTTCACTTTTGTGATCTGGACTCTTTTCATCTAGATTTTTAAGTAAACATAAATGCACCATGATATGAGAACATTTCAAAAGCAAAGCAATGCTGTCATGAGCTAGCAAGATAAAATTCTGTGGTAGTGACATGGAAGTTCAGGGTTGGAGATCCTCTCTCAAATAACTTGAAGACTGGATTCTTCAATTGATCTTGATAACAAAAATCTTTCATTAATTGAGTTTCAATATCACATCAATGGAGCGAGGTGGTAAAGGAGACAGTCTAGAGAGCTTCATTGTGGTACTGCTAGATGATATTAGTGAGCAAGTTGACAAGTCAACTAACTTCATAGGTGGTATAAGCACGAAATCATACATGCGGTTTCTAGGTCCTGGCAACCGAGCATGATCATTTGTAAACAAATGATAGGTTCTAGTTGGGATGTTTGCAATCCAGAAGTTGATGTAGGGGTAGGCACTATTAAAGTTTTTTGATAAAGAAGATATGAGTGGTGGCATTTTCCCAAATCCTTCGATGTCAACAGTGGGAGCCGAATTAGGGGATGAAATTGCCATTCTCAACTCTTATATTCTACCAACAAAACTCAGTTTCCACAATCGATAGAATATATTAAGCTAGAGAACATGGAAAGCCATCAGAAAACTAAATTGATTAAATGATCAATTCTTACAATGATATCTTACATAGCAAATGAAAAGAAAATATTACTCAAATGAATCAACTTAAACACATCAATTTAGATCTGGTGAGCTGAAACAACGTAGATCGTTAAAGGTATCCGCTAACTTTCTCTTCTTTTGGAGAGCCAGCTGCGAGGACAATAGCGCCCGGTCATGCTCGCATCTCATCACAGCGCCATCTAACGTTCCATCAGGCCAAGCAATGTCAGCATGGTTCATGTAGTAAGGATACCTTGAACAAAAGAAGAAAAAAACCATTCTCAAGAACCAAAGAAAAAACTCTTTGTACCTGTCAATGCCGTCTCTCCCAGCCCATCCGAAATCCACAGCGACGACTCTTGAAAGCTGTGGATCAACCATCAAGTTAGGCAGCCGCAAATCACCATGCACGCCATGAAAAGCCGAGTTTTGTGCTTTGTCCAAGCAACGCTGTGCCAGAGCTTGAATCTCACTCCACTGCGAGTGAAACATTTCCCTCGCCTTCTCAAGATCGATGTAGTTCTCCATGTACTCCATGCACACCATCAGCCAGCCACCTCCTAAGCTCTCTGGCGCGCAGCCTCGCTCAAACCAGTCCCTGTGAACTTCGCTGCTGTAGCGCTGGCAAAACTTGACGAAGATCTTCCCGACGCCCAGGTGCTGAATCCTTGCGAACGCGGACATGGAGGAGGACGGAGGCTCTGGAACTTCATGCTGCAGCCGCTCTACATGGACAACGTAAGTCTCCCCGTAAATGATCGTATCGACGCGCGCCCCCGCAAGCGGAGCTCTTGCAACACATACGGGAGCTTGGCTCCTGCGAGATCCAGTTTCGATGCTTGGACACTGATCGAGGCGAGTGACTGCAGTGATTTACGAAAAGCCGTCACCATCCTGCACAGAGAATCCATCTCGCCGGCGTTCCTCCTGCGGAGGAGAAGTCCCATTCGCAGGGGCTCCACGACGGGACCATCGGTAAACGCTGCACCGGAAATCCGGAGTAGAGGACCGACAACCTCCAGCAGAAAGACTGGACAGCAGCCACGCCCAAGCATCTCATCGTCCACAATGGCAGCAAGGTGATCGACATATTACCTGTGCTAAGAAGTTAGAGAGAGCCCTCTTCTCTCTCTCTCTCTCTCGGTACCTGCATGCTTCGATGAAAGGATCTCCTCCGCACCCTTGCTCGTTCCTCACTGCAACGAACGCCAAAAGCCGTCCACCGCAAGAGATTGCAATGCCGGACTTGGTCTTCTCGAGCACGAACTTGTCATCCAGGTACTTCTCCAGCAGCTTGAGCAGCATAAGGCGCCTCTGCTGCTCGTGAGCATACGCCTTGGACGACTCACGGCATAGCTCATCCACAAACGCTGAATCCTGTGGGCGGACCTCGGTTTCTTGGCACGAATCGAGGAAGTTGGCGAAGACGGGAGAGATGAGAGGCAAGGGCAGGCCCTGTGCTGTATCTGGGCGGCAGTTCAGGAAGACCGGCGGCTTCTTCATCTGATGCTCCAGCGTGAACTCAGCGGAATCCAAGGCAAGATGCGAAGGCGTGGAGTTTTTGAGCCGGCGATACGCATCCGACTCGAAGTAGCTGGACCGGTCTCCATGTAACTGAGCGAAGAACTTGCTCACATTCTTGGCTAGCAGCGCGGGCACTCCACACACAAGAAGCTCTGCACAAGAGAACGTACGCAATTCATCCACTTCATCGATGCCCCCTTTCAGCAAAGCTTTCAGCGCTTTGTCTGCCAATTCAGCTTTTCCCTTGGGGAGAAGCGACGCCTGGAAATCCCGCAGATTGCCCTCTCCCGCCATCCGCGACCAGGAGCCCTAAAATCGCTTCTAGCCTGGAGTTCCACAACCCTAATTTAAAACCCAAAACCCTGATTTAGGGTTCTTGGGATGAAGCAATGGCTATGGCGATCGCCCGGTGTTCCTGGGCGCCCTGGCCCCCGCATTTCCACTGTCGGCGGCTCCAGGTCGGGAATCGGGCGGCGGCGCTGCGTTTACAGGTGCGTGGAAGCCTTCGTTCGTTCGAATGAGAGCGATTGTTTTGATAGGCTCTAGGCACGAACAAGGCGGCCGTGGTGAAGCTAAAGAAGAAGAAGAAGAAGAAGAAAGTCGAGAAGGCTTCTTCGCAAGAGCCAGAGCATGACGATAGCGAGGAAGGAGATTTCACTGACATTGTGGATATGGCGGAATGGATGAAGAACAAGCCCCCGGGATTTGGGATTGGAAAGGAGTATGACACTGCTCTCGAGGAGGAAATCTTGGAGGAGATGGACAAGGGGAGCGCTGGTGCGGGGGAGAAGAAGAAGAAGAGCTCCGAGAAGCCGGGAGATCAAACTAGTGCGAATCCAATGGGAAGAATTTCGCTCAAGGATGGTAAAGTTGTGGAGGGGAGTGGCAACAAATCGACCAGGACGAGAAAGCCAGGCAAGTCTTAAAGTTCGTATCTCGCAAGCTAGGAATCTTTTTTTCTTTCTTTCGTGCTCATGACTTGCGAAGAACTTTGCAGTAACTTTGATTGTATCACACAGAGCCACAAGTTGAAGGAATCAAGGTGAAAGTCACTCACTTACCAAGGAAGAAGAACATCTCAAAGGACTTGCGACTGGCTTACAAGGGAGTGCCCGGCCTTTTGCAAATCAGACCAAACGAACTCGCGAACAACAAGACACGGGAGCCTGTTTGCAAAGGATCCGCCATTCTCACTTTTGCCAAGGAAAGCAACGCGTTAAGGTGAGAAAATTCTCTTTCTTTGCTCCCTAAGCTGGTTTCTCTCTCGTTACAGATTCATGGAGAAGTTTAAAATCCGCAAGCTTTTGTTTGGAAAGCTGGAAAAGCTCCCGACTTACGAGCTGCACATTCCAAAGAACGAGAAGAAAAAGACGGCCAGTGACACTACTGTAGAGATCGGAGACGACGAAGCAGAAACAGGGATGGTATCAATCGCAGCGCCAGTTGAGGATGAGAGCTCACTTTTGTCGATGCATGATGCGTCAGAGGATCGTAGCAGTAACGACGAGGTACAGGAATCTGTAGCGGATGCAATCATCGAAGACGAACAGGACGAACAGGACGAAGATTGTGATGACGAAGATGGTGACGAGGAAGAAGAAAACTTCGAAACGTCTTCTCTGGCTGTTGGAAGCAAACTTGAAGAATTTGAGGACAGTGAGGAGGAAGACGATGACTTTGGCGACGAGGAAGAACTTGAAAGCTCCGGAGAATGGGTCGAAGAAGAAGAAGATGAAGAAGATGGCGAGGGAGATCATCACGATCAAGCTCTCGAGGCTAGCAGTGACAACACACACTTTGTGGAAGTTGACGTTTCGGTGCCATTGACCGCAGAAGATCTCGGCGGTGATCCAGACGAGGTGATCTTGAGCAGCAACGCGAGAATTCTGGAGCTGGATACGGAGATAAGCAAGCTCCGGAAGATCGTCAAGAAGAACCGAAAGAAATCGTCGGTGGCAGAGCTGGAGCAGCAGATCCTCAAGCTGCGAGAGGAAAAAATCGAGCTTTTGGAGAAGCGAGTTCTTGCTCGAATCGTCGCCGCCAGGGAAGCTTTCAAAGCTCGACGCGAGAAGAAGAAACTGGCCGCCGCCGAGGAAGAGTCTTCCAAAAGATCTGGAAGGTATGTTTCTCATGCATTTTTTTTCTTTCGATTCACCACATTGTTTCCAGCGATCGATCAATCGATCGAGCTATTCTTGCTTCCTTGGACTAAAAAAATCGAAGTTTTTTTCGCAGTCGCTTGAGAATGGACGACGAGAAGTTCCGCGAAGTCGTCGCCAAGCACTTCTCGAGATAGAAAGTAAAAAAACGACGTTGACCCTCACACTGTTAAAACCAGCAAAGAGAGGGAATATACGCCGGCAATTTCTTCTTCCTCGTCAAGATGTGGACTGGAAACCCTAGCCAGTGAGACATCCATCGATCGAGAGGAGCGCGAGGCGAGCAACGCGCTCACGGAAGAATCTCCGTGAATGCGCCCAAGAGCAGCACTGGATTTGGCTCCATCCGGCGTGCATTCAAGGCGTCCTCACGCTGGCGCTGGCGCTGGCGCATTCGCCACTCCCAGGTACAAAGATTTCTCGCCCGCCGCGGAGAGTCGAGGGTGAATCGCTCGAATCCGTGGCCAATCGATGCCCGCACGGCCTGGCGCCGTGGAGCCGAGGGTTTGCTTGCCAGAGCTAGAGGTAGAAAGGAGCTAGGAAGGGGAAGATCCAGGGAATGGCGGCGCTGGACGGGGAGGAGCGTGTTCTAGCCACGGCACAGCACATTGTGAGATCGCTGGGAACCACAGATGCCACGACCGACGACATGATAGAGATCCTCTCCAAGTTTGACAATCGCTTCCACGAGCTCCTCTCCAAGAAGACGATCGCGAGCGCTTCTTCGACGTCGGAGCTCCCGGATGGCTTCGCGGATAGCCTGGATGCCGCGGAGGAGGTGATCATGCGCTGGGACAAGGCCTCCTCCGACGCTGCGTGGACGAAGATGATCTGGGATTCGAATGACGACGCTGTGGACTACCTCCACGCCGTGGACGAGGTCCAGAACATCTTGGAGAGCTTGTCACTCTCGCAGAGAAGAGCCGGGGTGGAGCGAGCGCAGACTTTGCTCCACGTCTCCATGGCTCGGTTGGAGGACGAGTTTAGATGCCTGCTCGAGACGACGAGCGGGCCAGTGGATCCAGAGCGGCTGCTCGACTCCTTCGCGAGCTCGTCCATGGCTGCTGCTGCGTCCTCGTCTTTCAACTCCAACTGTGACGACGATGGTGAAGGGTCTTCCATCGCGGGGACCTACCGTGACGAGGAGGGCGAGAACAGCTCCGACGATGACAACGACGAGGACGTTCCTGTTGCTCGGCCAGTGACCGACTTGAATCCGGTGATCGAGCTCCTGCCACCCGACGTGGTGGAGAGTCTCAACGATATCGCGAAGAGGCTCGTCCAGGGGCACTGCAAGCTCGAGTGCTGCCAGATTTACGGCAGCGTGAGAAAGGTGGTGCTGGAGGAGAGCCTACAGCGGCTGGGGATGGACAGGCTCGGCATCGACGAGACGCAGCGGATGCCGTGGGAGCTGCTCCAGAACAAGATCAAGAAGTGGATCCAAGTCATGGACGTTGGCGTCAAGGTGCTGTTCGCGAGCGAGCGGCAGCTGTGCGACCAGGTGTTCGAAGGCATCCCCGGCGGGGTGGAGGAGAGCTGCTTCGCGGAGCTGGCCAAGGGGATCATGATGCAGCTGCTGTGCTTCGGCGAGGCGGTGGCCATCGGCAAGCGGGAGACGGACAAGCTCATCACCATCCTCGACATGTACGAGAAGCTGCGGGACTTGCTGCCGGAGATCCACTCCATCTTTTCCGGGGAGAGCTGCCTGAGCGTCCGAGAGGAGGCGTCCGGGGTGCTGCTGCGGCTGGGGGAGGCCGCCAAGGGGACGTTCGCCGAGTTTGAGAACGCGGTCCAGCGAGATCCTCCAAAGACGCCGGTGCCTCGAGGAGCGCTCCATCCGCTCACTCGCTACGTGATGAACTACCTGCGCTTCCTCCTGGTTTACGTCGACACGCTCAAGAAGCTCTTCGGGGAGAAGCCGGCGGTGCCAGTGGTTCCCGGTGACGAGTTTGCTCGCGGCGGCGGTGGCTACTACGGTAGCAGCGACGAGTACTACCACCACCACCACCAGTACTCGAGCGTCCCGGCGGAGAACACGTCCCCGCTCGCGGTCCAGTTCATCTGGATCATCCACCTCCTCGAGGCCAACTTAGACAACAAGTCCAAGCTCTACAAGGATCTGGCGCTCACGAACCTCTTCCTCATGAACAACGTGAGATACATCGTCCAGAAGGTGCGTCACTCAGAGCTGAGCTCGCTGCTGGGCGACGACTGGATGCGCCGCCACTCGGCGCAGGTCCGGCAGCACGCCAAGAGCTACGAGCGATCGGCGTGGGTGAAAGTTCTTGCCTGCCTCAAGGACGAGGGGATACGATCCGGGGGGAGCTTCTCCACCGGGGTGTCCAAGGCGGTGCTCAAGGAGAGATTCAAGAGCTTCAACAGCGCGTTGGAGGAGATCCACCGGACGCAGTCGGGGTGGTGCGTCCCGGACTCGCAGCTGCGGTCGGAGCTGCGGATCTCGGTGGCGGAGAAGCTCATCCAGGCGTACCGCGCGTTCCTGGGGCGGTATAAGATCTACCTCGAGAGCGAGAGGAATCCGCAAAAGTATATCAAGTATACGCCCGAGGAGCTGGAGAAGATGGTGAACGATCTGTTCGGTGGCTCCTAGGAAAGACAGAGTATAAGACCTAAGGTTTAACGGCATCTTTTCAGAATCTAGGGTTTAGGTTCATATGAGTTAAAAATCCTAGACTTCCCAAAAGATGCTAGTATTTTTAAAAAAAATGTATATGTATATTCCTTAATGTACGGATTAAAACAATATCATTCTCATAAAGTGAAAATCGCGAAATTATACATATGAATGCCCAATGTAACTTTTAAATCATTTGCCTCCCCAATGACTCCATTGTAAAATTTAACTATATGCTTTTAACATTTCAAAAGCACAGTGTCTATATCGTTCACTATGGCATTGCAGGGATCCACCTGTTACGCTCTGTAACATGCAAAACCTATTATAATCCCAAAAATGCTAGTATTTTTTAGAATCTAGGGCGTGAAGAGAAGCATCTTTTGGGGAATCTAGGGCTTGCAAAGATCGCTCCCAAAAAAAAGTTGGTTTATCAGGAGATTCCACTTCTCCAGTCCCAAAAATGCTAGTATTTTTTAGAATCTAGGGTGAAGAGAAGCATCTTTTGGGGAATCTAGGGCTTGCAAAGATCGCTCCCAAAAGAAAGTTGGTTTATCAGGAGATCTTGTTCGCATTTTCGCAGGTATGTGATGCGATTTAGTTCCGACGAGGTGAAAGGACGAGCTAATGGAAAAAACGTGGCACGCTAGTGGAGGAAAGAAAGGATCGCTCGCTAGTGGACACCATGATCCGGCGAGAAACGAATATGAATCTCTGGGATTTTTTTTTTTTTTTTTTTTTCCTTTCTCTGTCCGTGGGTTCCTCTTTATTTTCTTTCGTGTGTGATTTCCAACCAGACTACCTGGCTGCCACGGCAAAGTTTTTTCGCGAGATTCATCCGGCCAGCCAGCCAGCAAACACCAAAGGAGTGGCAATAATTGTGGCATCGAAAGGGAAGAACAGTGCGAGAACAAAACAAAGGTAGGTAACGAGCAAAGTTTTTTTTTTTTTCACTTCTTCCTCGAATGGATCCACTGACTCGAATTTACCCGCAAAGCTTCTTGGACAGCGCGAGAACAAAACAGGGAGTCTCGCAGAGAGGTAGAAAGTTTCTCACTGCTTCTGCGAGCTCCGAGAATTTTTAATCGTGGAGCTTTTTTGGAGCGATTCTCAACTGTCGGTGGCCACTGTTTAGAAAACAGGCAAGTCGTCGACGAACCCTCATTCATTCCCCGATTTTTATTATTCTATGGATTTTCAATGTGGCTGTTGATGGTTTCTTATATAGTTCTTGCAGAGATTCCAATATCGTTTTGTTTTGGTTGTTTTTTTTTCTCTTCAGGACCACAAGCGACTGTGCTTCACCAGCTGGGATTGAAAGCCACTTGTAACAACCAACAACAACAGGCACAGTCGCGAAAAAGGCAGAGGAGGAGATAAGAAAAACGAGAAGAAAAATCGATGGATGTTTGGCCGGAGGCGGACAAAATCTGTACCCGGAAATTTGGAAGAGGTAAAGTAAGCTCTCAACCTTGCTTGAGATCTTGGTTTTCTATGATCGCGCAGGGCCAAATGGGACCTTTTTCCTGCTGGACGAATTGAAAGATGGGAGCCAAAAAAAAAAAGGAAAGAAAAAGAGAACACAAGGAAGACGACGAACAATTGAGGAACCCGTGTCTATTATTGCGCGAGGCCGGCCTTCTATCCCATCGCTGTGAGTTGTGTCCGATCTACGCAAAGAGGTACATGGTTTTGGATTCTCGGTTGATTTTTCCTGTTTCCTTTTATCTCCAAGCTTGTGGATGTGAATATCCATCCATCTTCTTCCGAGCAACAGGTACTTGGCTTTACGACTTGGTGCGAGCCGAAAAAATCCGTCTTTTGGTTGACTGACTTTGGATCGCTTCCATCTTTCTTTCTCGGCGCAGTTAATTCGCTCGGACGGACTTCCTGGAGCTAGAATTTCGGTAGCTCGCTCGAATTGAATACGATCAAAGGTGTGTGTGCACCATTTTTTCAAAGGTTTCTTCCAGGAAAAATTGGTTTTTTCAAGGAAAAATTGGTTTTTTTTTTCAGGAAAATTTTCTATCTGTGACTCAGAGTTTTCTCCCTCCTTTCCGGGAGAGAATTCATGATGGGGGACAAATGGAGCGGCGGGGTGACCCGAATTGTGGACGCCCCGGCCGCCAAGTTGTGGGAGCTAGCCTCGGATTTTTGCGGGCTGTGCAAGTGGATGCCCCTGATCGAGGAGTGCCGGCGCATCCAAGGCGATGGCGACCGAGCTCCCGGCTGCGTGAGGCTCGTCGTAGGGACCTCCCTCCCGCGCGATGACGGCCAAAAGTCCTGGATCACGGAGAAGCTTGTGGCTATGGATCCCAGCGCTCGCTCGTTCACGTATGTTCTCGAGGATGGCAACATCGATCCACTGTCGAGCGGCTACAGTTCCACTTTCACGGTGTCGGCGAGCGAGCAGGACTCGGCAAAGTCGAGGGTGGAGTGGAGGTTTGAGATCTCGCGCTGCGAGACGAAGAACTCACGCGAAATTATCGAGTTTATGGAGGCTGTTTTCGCCAAGAACATCGCCTCCCTTGTTCTTGCCGCGTCAGAGTTGCAAGAGAGCTAAAGTAAGAAGAATATAATCAATCAACTCTCTCTCTCTCTCTTTCTAAGCGAGCGAAATCACAAAAAGAATGGGTTGAAATCGTGTTTCGTTCAAAGGGGAAAGCTGGAAGAACGAGTAAAGTACTCCAAAGGATATATATACAGCAGTACTGTGAAGGCAATGGTCGCACTCGCGGGAATTATATGGTTTCCCTCAATAGAGGGTGATTGTACATGCACACATAGATACCGTTGGAATAAGTAAAAGGGAGAAAAGACGAAAAAGATACGTGGTGGTCTGCCCTAACTTAGAACAAATGGCCCGAAAAGGTGGCGGCCCCAGCTAGGGTATACGTCTTTGACAGGGAGAGAAGAATGGAACGCCAAGTACTACACTAGCTAGCGTGGAAAAGCAACGGCCTAGGATAGGGAGGCCTATCTAGGGCTCAGATCTTTTCTACGGCTAGATTTCGCCACCACCCTGCGAGGAGAGAAAAAAAGAAGATGACCACTTTAAACTCTCCCATGGGGGAGCGGTACTTTGACAAGGACAATCCTATATATACGAAGGGTTATAACTCCACAATATCTAAGGCATACCTCCCTCGGCAAATACCTTGGATGTTATCAAATGCTTTTGTACGGTGTGTGTCGTTCGACCGTTCCCACACTTGAAAGGGATCATCTCCTTTTCCAATCACCGCCGTACTGCCCTAGTCGCTCGCTTTTATCTATAAAAGATGGGAATGCAGGGGCCGTACCGTACGGGGCGCGGGGGGGGGGGGGGGGGGGGAGGGTTAAAAATTTCCCCCCACGCCGTCCAGCTGGGATTGATTCGCGAGCGGGTCTATCAATCGGTTTCGGAGAAGGGGAAAGGTGGCGGGGCTTTAGGGCTAAATCGAACTTTGCAACTTGCTACTTGGGTGGCCTGGAGAATCTCGACGAACTTTATATGGAGGTTGAAAAGTTGCGATTGATTTGCTCGTGGCCTGATTGTCGATGACCTTTTCTTCCTTCCTTTGACACCCGCACACACCCACACACACACACACACACAAACACGAGCGGACCCAGTTTTATATAATTCCGTGCACTAAGCATGTGATCAACGAGCCCAATGCGTGTGTGAGTCCGAGAAAGACTAGCGACCCTGTGTGATTGTCCTCGCTCGCTTAGCACTAAAAACATGCCATCCAGCTGATAATAATATCAATTAGCCCAAAACAAGAGGGGAACAAACAACAAGCCCCCAAGATCGCCCGAGATCTTTGCCTTTATCGTAGCGAACCTTGACAAGGTACCATACACTTGTTTAATCTCTTAGCACATTGTACCTTTTTACCCCATATAAAAATCTATCAAAGCGAAAGAATCGATCTACGCAATCCGATGCCCAATCAGAATCTTCCCCAACTAAACAAAAATGGCGTGGCCTGGGCCTATCCACGTCGCCGATGTAAGCAACCAGGGCCGTTGATCTGTCGCATTGTTGATATTTGTATAGCGCAACGTGTGGGACTCTCTAATGGCCAAAAGGCCAAAGAGAAAGAGGACCGCATTATAAGATCTAGAGTTTAAAACGTGAATATTTCCGAAGGTCCAAAGTCGTGGGTATCAAAAAAAGGTGCCTTGGAGGATCAATGCTATTGGGTTTAATAAGCCTTGGATTAGCCAATGCCCTAAGGGCATAAAGAGTCTTTATCGGTGTGAGTAAGTTAAACTAAACACTGTGGTGATTCGATCTCCAGTTAAATTATTGTTTACCGAGGTCTTGTTGCGTCTAATTTTTCTTTTTTTCTCTTTTTTCTAATCTATCTACTGGTGCTGAGTTCGATCCACCAACCGCAAGTGGGCGTCCCTTTGATTGATCAAAAAAATTTCTTCTCAAACCATGTGATATTTTTTCCACGAGGGGAGGCGTGGCCACTCCCAATGCCAAAGAAATATATATTTCCTAATGTCTCACTATATGGAGAAATATGCACACGATACATCTATCAAGTGTCATAGACTTATAGTATAGCCACATCGGTATCGGCCAATGTACGGAAGTGGACCAAAACTTTGGGCCCCCCGGCTGCACGTAAGCCGCGCAGTACAACGTCCCATCCCCAATCCGACGGAGTACGGCGGGCCACGTTCGTCGTCCGCCGTTCGTGTGTTGGGACATCTCCTGCCGTCGGATGGAGCCGGATCCGACGGCAGGATTCGTCCACATCGTGGCGGGATCGGGAGTGGGCATCTCGACGGCTGCGAATCCGCCACGCGGCGGCGCGGGAGTGGCGGAATGCCTCGCCGCTCTGGCCGTTGGATGGGGCCGATCCGACGACCTGGGATTCGCTTTCGGAGATTAGGCCTTATTTTTCGTTCTTCCTGTGCTGCTCTCGCTGTCTTGCGATAGTCGCCGAGCTAAAAGCGCGCGATCGCAGTGGCCCAGCGCAGAGATTAGCAGCGGCAGTAGCAGCGCCAGCAATCCAGACTCCAGAGGCAGCGATCAGAGTGAGAGCGAGAGAGAGAGGGAGGAGCGAGCGAGTGAGCGAGAGCGATGAAGTGTGTGAATGAGGGCAGTACGCACGTCGCGGATTCGCCAGGGGGGAGGAGCTGCGAGAAGAACAAGGGAGGAGGAAGATCAAGAGGAGGGCTTTCTTTCTGGCATTCAAAGATGTGATCTTTCTACAGGTGAAAATCACTGCTTGTGACGCTCATCACTCCCATTTTCTTCCAAATCTCTCTTTTCTTTCCTTCTTCTTCCCTTTGTCCCTTCTTCGCTTCTGCTGCAAACAACAACGCCATCCTTGCTTGTCCCAGCTTTTGCCGGAGGCTTGTCCGAGCTTCTTAATTTGGTTTGCGTTGTTGACCCAATCAATCCATCCGTCACCCTTGCTCTTCCCATTTTTTCTCGTCTCGCCATCGATCAATCAATGCCATACTGGGTGATCAGATAGATGCATAGATTTAAGCTTTGCCACTTATGGGATCACCGACGAAATATCAGCTTTTCCTTTTCTTCTTTCCACTCCGGCTTTGGCGAGCTGCCTGTCAATTGATCAAACGTTGGCCACTGCTGCTGTGCTCCAAGGATTCCATTCCATCGCTGTTATGAGCTGAGCTGAGGATTGGAGCCAGCATTCTTTTCTCTCGCTCACTTTTCTCCGTTCTTCTTCCATCATTTCCTTCCACACTGCTGCCCGACAACTTGTCACGGCTTCGTTGGCTTCTCGAGTGTTCCGTTCTGCGGCACTCCAGCGCGTTTGTCGATTTGTCCATAACCTCCAAGCCCAGACTCCATCCATAGCTATACAAAAAGCTTCCACTTTCTTTGATCATCTCTCCATTTCTTTCTCGAGAGCTTCCATCTTTTCCCTCGGCCAGTTGCGAACAACTAAGGCAGCTAGCAGACAAATGTGGAAGCTTTAAGAATTGACAAGGGCCTATCTGGTTTTTCTGGTTTTGTACAACAATCCATCGCTCCCACAGCAAAGAAATGCCGAATTCTCCTCCTCCTCCTCCAAACATCTTCCAACAGTCCTTCCAGCCAAACCAGCGAATGGGATTCTTGAGAGTACTGCTGGGACTGGGACAGTGGTAGCGAAAGTTTTCTCCGTTTCCTATCTTTATAATCTCTCTGGCTATGGAGGACAGGATGATGGAGAGATAGTCTCGTCGAGAAGCAGCATAAAAGTGAAAAAAAAGAGACAAGAAACCTTTGAGAAACGAGATCCTAGGAAGGAGTTCTAAGGAAGAAGATGATGTTGGACCTTAACGAGGCACCGCTGCTAGCGCTTGGAAGTGGTGGTGGTGGCGGTGGTGGCGGTGGTGGCGGCGGTGCCAGTGGTGGAGTGGAAGCTCCTCTCGCTGCCTTGAACGATGGAAAGCAACAGCAACTCCTCGGTAGCAGTAGCGTGATAACTCCGCGAGCTGGGAATCAAGGCGACAGTAGTTTGTCCGCCAGGCGGCCAAGAGCTTCTTCATCTCCAGGATCATCCGTGGATGTCACGATTGGCCTCGCGGCTGGATCAGCAGTAGCAGCAGCAGCAGCAAATCTTCCACTATCCAGTGCTTGCGATCAAGTGGAGACCTCGCAAGTGAATTCCGGTACGTCGAGCTCCGCGGTGGTGACGGTGGCCACAACGGGGGGCGGCGGAGGAGGAGGAGCTCGGCTGGAGCTCCGTGCCGGCGCAGCCACGGAGTCCGGCAGCTCCGAGGATTTCGAGGAGGCGTCCAGCAAGGCAGTGGATCCGGAGCTGGAGGTGTTCGAGGAGATCGATGGCGCAGTGAAGCGACAAAGAACCGCGGTTTTGTTCTTCGAGTCGAGAACCACTGCTGGCAGTGGTGGCGAGAGTGGTGGCGGCGGTGGCGGCGGCGGCTCCGCTGTGGAGCGGAATTGCGCTATATTCGTGTCGTCTCCCTCGGAATCCAGCGACGAGAGCTGCAAGATCCTGGGAGTTGGAGGTCACGCTGGAAGTGACACTACTCTCATCGGTGTTAGCGATGGATTCCAATGCAAGGACAAGGCGGCGCTCATCACACGCCAGCTCTTTCCACTCGAGTCGTCGACGTCTCCTTCGACACACGCCGCCACCACCACGGCGGCGACGCCGACTGGAGCAGCGAGTGTCTATGGATTCGGCGCTGGGAAATCCTCCCCGTGGATGGGATTGGAGTTCCATCAGCGAGCTTTGTCCGAGACCTCCGGACGACTGAGCGATGTGTGTCAACCGCCAAAGAAGAGCCGGCGTGGCCCGAGATCGCGCAGCTCCCAGTATCGCGGAGTGACGTTCTACCGGAGAACTGGGCGATGGGAGTCTCATATCTGGTGAGCGATTGTGGATTTCTTTTCTCTTTCTTCAGATCTGGATTCGATCAAACTCATGTTTTTCTTGGTTGAATTTGCAGGGATTGCGGAAAGCAAGTGTACTTAGGTGAGCCAACTAAAAAAATGGTTGTTTTTCTTAAACTGATGTGCTCGAACTTTTTTTTTTTCCAGGTGGTTTTGATACAGCTCACTCAGCTGCCAGGTGAGCGAGTGTTCTATCCATTTCTTTTTTTCAAGTTGGAGGGATCGTTGTTGGTTCTTACTTTCCTGACGATCTTTTCGATCCAAGTTCTCGTTTTGTCTTCTCTCCTCTGAAGTTCGGATTTGATTGACGTTTGTTTCTCCAGAGCCTATGACAAAGCTGCTATCAAATTCCGAGGACTGGATGCTGACATAAATTTCAGCCTGAGTGATTACGAAGATGATATCAGACAGGTAAGCAGCAGCAGTAGCAGCTGCAGCGAGACGCGCGCAGCTCAATCAGATATCGTAAATGGTCTTACAAACTCTCTCCTTTTTTACTCCTGCCTTTGCAGATGGCACACCTCTCGAAGGAGGAATTCATTCACATCCTGCGTCGTCAAAGCACCGGCTTCTCGCGAGGGAGCTCAAAGTTCCGGGGCGTAACACTTCACAAATGCGGCCGCTGGGAGGCGAGAATGGGACAATTCCTCGGGAAGAAGTACGTAGTTTTCCTGGCAATCGTTTTTCTCTATCGATCCTCTCAAAAAAATCTCCAGTGTCACTGATGTTTTAGTACGTTTTCCTTCTTTCAAAGGTACATATACCTGGGACTCTTCGACAGCGAGGTTGAAGCTGCAAGGTAGTATTATCTTATCTCGCAGCGCTTTTGCGAATCTTTTTTTTCTTTTGTTCGTGACACTAATCTTGCAACTGGCAGTGCAGGGCATACGATCGAGCCGCGATCAGGTGCAATGGAAGGGACGCTGTGACGAACTTCGATCCCAGCTCGTATGAGAAGGAGGGTCATACGGAAGGAGGCGGTACGTATACGTAACCAGCTCGTCTTTCTTCGTCGTCCTGGTCGTATCATCTTTGTTAGTTCGATGCCTTTTCGATCTTGACTGATTGATGGCGACAGAGCATAGTCGTCTTTTTCGTAGAAATCGTGGTGGCAAGTACTACGTGGTCTTGAAAAGTCCTCTCTCTCAATTGATTTTTTTGGTGTGTCATGCAGGCGTGAGCAGTCATAACTTACAGCTTGATCTTGGGATCTCGCTCTCAAGCCCGTCTGATCAAAGGCCAGCAGTCGAGGGAGGATCAGACGCTTGGAAGCGAGTGAACTCCTCGGAGACTGGATTGAACTGGCCGGTAAATCAATCTCCCTTTATCCATCGTTTTCACTGTGCCAGAACACTAAACACAAACTTGATGCGTGCACAGGCAGCCGAAGCTCCTTATCGCGGCAGCATAGATTCAACGTATCCTTCATCGCATCTCGGCCACATCCACGATTCCTCCCCGAGCAAGGTTGGAGGTTTTCTCACTCGGGAGTGTGCTAGCTAAGAGCTTTGACGATGGTGGCTGCAGGATCATCACCAAGTTACATACAGGCTCGAGGACCGGAATCGCTTGTTCTCACCCCTGCAAGAACACCATCTTCCCCAGCAGCAGGAGCAGAATCACACTCACCACCTCCACCACCAACACCAGCAGCATCTAAGTTGGAACCTACATCCGGATCACCACTCGGCCCTCCGGAGCTACAGCGCTCCCGGACCCGGTTTGTCAGCTCCGACTCCAGCTCTAGCTCCAGCTCCAGGCCATAGTTTTGTAGCTCCATCAGTGGCATTTGGAAGCTCGCAGCAGCACCAGTGGATCGGTGGCCACCCCGCGGGATCGTTCGCCGCCACTCCAGTGTTCCACCACCACCACCACTTTCAGGTATGCAGTGTAGAGTTTCCCCGCGAAGTTAACCATTCGTTGGCGTTAGGCCACACAGCAACCGGGTGATCTTGCCAACAATGCCCACAGAACCTTGTACCATAGCTCATAGGAACACTGAGTTTTGCGTGTAGTAGTATAAGTGTGAGTGTGGCTTTGTTTTGCAATAAGCAAAGGTGGTGGGGGCATCTAACAGAATATCCGATCCATTGACTTTGACCAAGGCCGACTTTAATTATTTTGACCTTTGACCCGAGAATATGCTTTTGAGTATTCCTGCTATCTTGAATGTTTGGCTATGGCGGTGGCGATCAACCCGGCATCGATCTTGTTGCCGGGGCGGGCGCGATCGATACGAGGTCTGTGCTCTTCCAGTCCGGTCGCGGGATCTTTGGCCACCGAGGAGGAGCAGCGCCAGCAGCGAAGAGCGCTCAAGGACGCTCTGGCGGAGCGGCTGGACGATAGCAAGGGGAATCTAGACGAGGAGTCGCTGCGATTGATCTCGTCGCTGGAGGTGCTGAGCCCCCTGGTGGATCTCTCCCAGGTGCCGCACCTCTACCGCGGGTGCTTCCAGGGATTGCGCGCCTCGTTCAAGAACTCGGGGAGGAAGGGCGAGGTCCAGAAGGAGGTGGGCTTCTCCGGCGCGGTGGTCACGCTGGGGCGGGCGACCTTCAACGTTTACAAGCCGACGAGCCTGGAGATCGTGCTGGGCACCACGTACAATCACGTCGGATTCACGGGCGAGGACGATTACTCGCTCATCATCCAGTTCCGGGTCGCGGGCCGCGACGATCTCGAGGGAATGCTCGTGAACCGCGCGAGGTTTAGCATCTCTGCGCCCAAGAGGATGGATGTGCTCTTCCTCTCGTCGACGATGAAGCCCAGGTTCTCCAGGGATTTGGGGGCGTGGATCGATTTCTTCCGGCGCGACAATGCGAGCATCAGCGAGGAGGATGGATCGGTGGATGCCACTCTCCCGGCGGCCAAAGGATGGCTGGATTACCTCTACCTGGACGAGGAGATCAGGATCACGAGAGGGAATCGAGGCGGCGTGTCAGTCGTCCAGCGGCTCGACGAGCCTGTTATAAATATCTAGTACAGTAGAGAATTTTAAAATAAAAATGGATATAGCCGTTTGTTTCTAGGGCTAGGGTATTTCGATCGATGGAGCTGAGATGGCGCTCTGGCGCGAGCTGAGCGCTTGCATCGGTCGAGTCGCGATCGCGCTCGCATTTGTGAGAGGAATCGCGGTTGTTAATCAGGTACTTCGATCAATAGCACCGAATTCGATCGCATTCTTGTTCGATGGATCTTTTTGCTGCAAAGCTCTGTGCATTCAAAGAAATCTTGATCGCTTTCATGTCTATTTCTATTTCATCATGCACGAGATCGACGAGTTTGATCGGAATGTGTGAGATTTTTTTCTTTGGTTTTTCCTGACACACAATGTGTGTTCTCGTGACATACGGTTTCTTTTCTTGGTGCTCACAAGAATTTGGCATACATTTTTTTCGTCTTGTATTCAAGAGACTTTTGCTTCACTTCATGTGTTCCTGACACATAGAATGGTTTCTACAAAATATAGATAGATTTCTTTTTTCTTTTCTCTAACCAAATGCTTGCTTGCTTCTTCTCAGGCGAGTCCTATCATCTGCTCACTCGGCAATTGAGGTCGGGGCTCCAGTCCTCGCTTCCAACACAATGGGTACACACGAAAAGTCCGCTGGGATCGACTTTGTCCTTGATTTTCTTGAGGGCGTCGTAGTTGCTGCCGAAGAAGGATTGCTGCCAAGAGGGCTCGTTCCTGTTGGCCTCGTTCATGTAGCTTCCGGAGCCAGGGGTCAAGTCGGTCAGCATTTTGTAACCACTGCTCATCTCCGACGCAAGGCTCGACTTGGTCTCCATGGTGCTGTTCTCGGCGAAAGGCCTCACGTAGAGAACATGCAAGAGGGCGTTTCGCCAGGCAGGGTTGACGGCGTTGTCCTGGGCTTTGGAAACTTTGCCTCCACCGACGAGATATCCCGAGATCCGCTGGAAGCCCATCTCTCCGAGTGAAACCAGTGCTTCCGCGAGCTTGTAAGGTGATTTTTCAGCAAGGGTGCGAGGGATCAGCCTGGATGCTTCAAGCTGAGAGAAACCAGACGGGAAGCCGCATTTACCGTTTGTGCACTGGTTCTCGAGGTGCCATTCGTAGTACGAGGAGAACTCCTTGATCTTACCACTGACGACGACGAGCTCGTTCTTCCAGCCTTCAACGTATGCAAGCAGGGGCTGGAGCGACTTCTCTGCAAAGGCCATGTCCTTGTTGGGGAGAAGATACTGGGCTATCAGAGTCTTGCCGGCAGCGATGAAGAAGCCTCCCCATCCTGCGTCGGCCATGGACGGGTTTAAGCTGATGACTTTGGCAAGCAGATCCTTGAAGGCGGAAGAAGTGCTGTTGGGACCTGTGGTGATGATATACGACGCGAAGACGAGGTTCGTCAGTGCCGGGTGTGCAACATAAGTGACCGCTGTGACAACACCGAAAGTACCTCCGCCTCCTCCTCGAAGCGCCCAGAAGAGCTCCTTGTTCTGGCAGGAGTTTGCCACCACCAGTTTCCCATCGGCTGTGACGACGTCGTACTCCAAAACGTTGTCTGCTGCGAGACCAAAGGATGGAGAGAGCTGGCTGTGGCCACCTCCTTGAGGATACCCACCGGCAGCTCCGACTGAAACACATTGAGCTCCTACGACGGTCCTCTTGTTCTTATGCGCCGCGGCGTAGACCTCCTCCCACTGGACACCGGCTCCGACTTTCACAGAAGGGGTGTTCTTACCGGTGTGGCAGCTCTGAGACCTGGGGGTCCTCAAGGCGACCCAAGGATCTTGAGCTTCCGGCGCTTCGACTTCATACTCGGCGAGCTCGTGGAATTTGTCCGAGAAAGTGATATCCTTGAGGTGATGGACCCAGATGCTGAGAGACCCCGGGGCCGTGTTCTTTCCCGTCATGTCGTGGCCGCTGTTCTTGATGACGAGTCGAAGATTGTGCTGCGACGCGAACGAGACTGCCTTTTGGACTTGAGACACTGTGGACACATCGACAACATACATTGGTACGGCACCTTGCAAACATTCCGAGGCTCTGTCGCCCCGCAGCAGGCAGCCTTTGTCTCCATCCATCTCCATGTTGGGGACTTGCAACGCGCTGGGCTGGTCGGATCTCCAGAAGGGGTCACCCGAGTTCTCGGTGACGAGCTTGCAAGCATTCTCGTCGAAGTAAGGATCATGGCAAGGGAAGCCCAGCGGCTTTGCTGCTATCAGTGCTCCTCCGACCGACGCATTGAAACTCTCCCACGTCTTGGCGTCTGGCCAGCATTCCTGCGACGGGAGACACCGGCATGATCCTGCTGCTGCTGCTCCACGTAACGACAGTGGGAGGAATGTTATCATCAACACAATGACTAGCAGCTGGTAGTAGTGGCGATCATCCTCAGCAGCACTGGACGCCATACTCTCCACTCAAGCTTTCAGTACTTCCGCACCTGTATCAAGCAGTTAAATACACCAACAACACCGAGAAAGAGGGAGGTATGTGCTCGATGCTCATGGATCTTTGGTCTACACTTTTTGACTGTTCTAACGCTTTCCGCATCATTGAATCGCCGCCTTATCGCGTTTGTGTTTGTGTGTGGTTTTCAGGCTCTTATTTTACTCGTAAAGGATTCTGTCCCTGCCAGCTTACAGTTGCTGAAACGTATTTTAGTGGCTAGTGCTCTTCACAACACATGGTTTAAACGATCACGGGCACGTCTTTCCCAGTGTGAGCGGAGCGGAGTGGAGTGTTTGGACTTTTCTGTAAGAGGTCTGTTATTCTCGATGCACTTCTTTTTTCTAACGCTGAGAATTATAGCTCTGTGGTCAGTGCCCGACACGCAAGTCCACCGAGAATGCCCCAGAATTGAATAGCCGCAGGTTTCACATGTCAAAACGTGAGCCATGGCTTTCTGTCGGTATCACTCCCAGTGTGAGCGGCAGCCATACCACAACTTTACAGCGCGGTTTGCTCTTCGTGGGTCCTCATGACTTGAAATAGCTGTTGTTGTTGTTGCAGCAGCCTGCAATGCCGTAGTGCTTCTGATATTACTTTACGTAAGCATTATGTCGTCGCGCACTACCGAAGGTAAACCAAGTTTTATCACTTTAGCTAATGCTCACTTGTGTTTTGCACAAAACGCGCCAGGGGAGACCACATTGATCATGCTGAGGGAAGCTCAATTATGTCAGTGGATCAACTAAAAGTGATAAGGTGCTCCACAGCAGGTGCCATATATTCTCCCAGCAAAGACATTCAGCTCTCCAACATTCTTCTACAGACTTATGCGAAGTGCGGGGATCTGTTACATGCACGCTCGGTGTTCGATGGCATCTGCGACAAGGACATCATCTCATGGGTCTCTATGCTCTCTGCTTATGCCCGAAATGGACATCTGGAGGAGGCCAGAGCACTGTTCCAAGGAATGCCACAGCGGAACTCGGTGGCTTGCACTACTATGCTGGTCGCTTATGCCCGGAGCGGGCAAACTGACGAGGCAAAGCGAGTGTTTGACGACATGAAAGAGAGGAACTTGGTGACCTGGAACGCTATGCTCGCTGGCTATGCCAGGAAAGGACACTTGGTCGAGGCGAAGCTGCTGTTTCAGATTGCTCCAGAGAGGGATGTGGTTTCATGGACGACAATGGTTACTGCTCATGCTGAGAAAGGCCACGTAGAAGACGCGAAGAAATACTTCGAGAGAATGCCAGAGCGAGACTTGGTTTCCTTCACTACTATGCTGACTGCATACGCAGAGAACAGCCGTTTTCACGAGGCCCGGACTTTGTTTTCCAGGATGCCAGAGCTCGACTTGGTATCCTGGAACGCAATGCTGGTGGCTTATGCTCACGAGAACGACTTGGAGGGTGCAAGGCAGGTGTTTGATCGGATGCAAGAACGAAACATGATATCGTGGAACGTGATGCTGTCCGGGTATGCTCAGCGCGGGGATATAGAAGAAGCTCGAAGAGTTTTCGACGCTATGCGGGTCCGCAATTTGGTCTCGTGGAACGCGATGCTCTCGGCACTCTCCCGCGGCTGCGAGCTCCAAGAGGCCAAGATGGTGTTTGACAGAATGCCGCAGCGGGACGTGGTCTCGTGGAACACCATGCTGTGTGCATTCGCTGAGAACGGGGAGATACAGTCGGCCAAGAAACTCTTAGACAGCATGCGCGAGTGGAACTTGGTGTCCTGTACGGCGATGCTGAGTGCTTACTCGGAAGCTGGCGAGCTCGAGAACGCGAGACACGTCTTCGATCTCATGAAGGAGCGGAACGTCGTTTCCTGGACAGCCATGCTCTCGGCCTACGCGCAGAATGGTCACGTCCGGGAAGCCAAGCAGGTTTTCGACGCCATGGGAGTGAGGAATGTCTGTAGCTGGACAGCCATGCTCTCGGCCTACGAGAAGAACGGCCAGCTTGAGGAAGCCAAGCAAGTTTTCAGCGCGATGACGGACAGGAACCTCTCCTCGTGGAACGCGATGCTGGCGGCTTACGCTCGGAACGGGCATCCGGGGAAAGCTCGAGAGGTGTTTGAAGGGATTCCGGAGCAGCGGAACACGGTGTCGTGGAACGCGGTCCTGGCGGCCTGTGCGAGCAGCGGGGAGAGCTCCAGTGGCGCCATGGAGATGTTCTACACGATTGCGCTGAGTGGCGACGCAGGGGACGAGATATCTTTCGTGTGCATCCTGGTTGCGTGCTGCCACCTCGGGGAAGTTTACACTGGATGGCAGCTTTTCCAGTCCATGGCCAGGGACTACGGCTTGAAACCGGCCAAGCAGCACTACTGCTGTATGATTGATCTGCTGGGACGGGCCGGATATGTGGAAAGTGTGGAGGAGCTCATCGACAGTATGCCTTACGTGCCGGACGAGTGCGAGCGCACGGCCTTTCTCCGAGCTTGTGGAAGCCGCGGAGATACCACTGCTAGTTTACAAGCCCTTGGGAGCGTGGAGGAAAACAAGGCTACTGCTGCTACTGCTTCTTCCTACGTTCTTCTATCCAACACCCTCAAGCAGCGGCAATTCGTGAACATCCAGTAATGCACTTCGTAATCTTTTTTGTTACTCTTCTTTGGAAATAACTAACATTGTCTATTTCATCTTCAACATCTGAAGCTCACACTATTTGGAAAATATGAACAGCTTACAGGGCTCGGGGCAAAAATGAAATTATGATACTTTTATAAGCTCATCAGACATGAATGGCATTGCCATTTGAGTTGAGGATGGCTTCAATGACAGCAACATCAATAAAAGCTTCTCCAGGACTACTGCGCTTATCAGCTTCTCCTCCCTGCATAAACTATTTAGTATATATACATAGACAACATTTCAATGGTACCAATAATACCTGTGAAAGGTCGTGAATGAATGATCTCAATTCTTCCTCAACTCCACAGCAAGGATAAAAAATTGAGTTTTTACCCACCGAAGTAGCATGCGACACCTGTATTAGGTTAGTATTTGATGGAGAATTTGGATTTGAATATCGCTCACCATAAAGCCTGGCTGACCATCTTGAGTATCTTGATCGACTTCAACTGTACCTTTTGTTCCAACAATTTTCCAGCTCATCTAAATTTCCAAGGTTCATCATCTATAAAATTCTCTGAGCAAAACAGAACATACCTTCTTAGTTGTACAGGAAAACGAAATCATCAAAGTCCCGGCACACCCGTTTTCCAGCTCACTGCAAACGTAAGACTTCGATTTAGCAGCCAAAACAATTCAAGAGAATAAGAAAACTTACAACAAAGCAGACACATTGTCTGGAGGAGGTAATGCTTCATCTACATGGCGGCAGATTGCTGAAACAGATTTTACTTCGGAACCAGTGATCTGAAACAGAAAAGTATGAACGTAAGAACGGGTTTGTTTTTCTTTTTCTTTAGAAAAAATGCAAATATTACCACTCGAAGCCCTGCAATTTGGTGAACAGCTCCATCCAAAACATATCCACCCTGTAATTTTTATCGAAACACCGTGATAGATTAATTATATCATTTACCTTGAGCTCTCTTCGCCAAATGCTTGAAAATGATGACCGTGAGATGTTCATTGGACTTTCAACCGTTACTTCCACCGCCACCATGTGTCCTATGTCCTTCGCCAACTTGTGAGCCTGTGAAAACAAAAAATTCTTAGAATATATTTTATTTTTCTGAGCAATATTAATTACCTCCACAAGTGCGCGCTCAAATCTGTAGTTTTCAGCTATTGCCCACACAGGTCTCATGGTGCCCAAACTTTCATAGAAACTTGTCAAACCCTGAGCTTGTTGAGTACTTGGAGCTATAGGCTTTTCTGTAGCTTCATGCGTTAGCCAGATCATAATAAACATGGTAAGCTTGTACCTTGAATAACATGTTTTCCTGCCTTGAGTGCCTGCATCACAAACTCTCCCTAACATCAAAATAAAATGGTTAGAAGTTCTGTCTGATATTATTACAGGCAATTGCATATACCTGCACTTGTGGCTGAAGAACAATCGCTACTGCAAGGATGGTATCATCACTGAGAATGTCATCTAGGCCCTGTTGACCCCACTTTGGCTGAACTCCTGGAACACAATCCTTGATCAAGGACACTGATCGCTCCGCAGATTCCTAGAAAAATGAGAGATTTATCATGCAAGGATCCTGGGAAAAATAGCCTAGTACCTGTGAGCGACTCCACAGCGCCTTGAGTGAGACTACATCTGTAAGCTTGGTGGAGAAGAGAGGGAAATACTGCTTCTGTGCAAAATTTCCAACCCCTATTAGGGCTAAACTAGGTGCCATCGCTGTGAAAAAGGAAGAGACTCCCCTCTATTTATATTAGAAAAACAACCATTATACGCTCTTAATTAAAAGGAGTTATTTTCCGTTAATCACAGTATATATATATATATATATCGATTTTTCCAGGTTTGGGTGAAGAAATCATGATTATTCAAGTGCAAGGTGGTAAAATTCTGTCACCGGCATTAGAACATATACAAGCAAAGATGTTTTGCATCAACACGCACGCAGCTGCTAAGTCATCTTCCTCATCACTCGATTCGGCTAGAGACTTGAAAGCGATCAATCCCAGCTCCAAGTTCTTCCACTTCATACAAGCACCTAGAATGGTGATCCAAGCCATCGGAGTTGGACCACACGGCATAGCTCTCACCACCGCCATGGCCTCTTCCACAAAACCAGCTCTTCCAACAAGATCCACCAGGCAAACGTAGTGATCCACGTCAGGCTCCACTCCATATCTGGACTTCATCACCCCGAAGAGCTTCTTCCCTTCCTCGACCAGCCCTGCGTGGCTGCAAGCTCCAAGAACCGACGAGAAAACCATACCATCTGGTAACACTCTCTCGACTTGCATCGCTTGGAACAGTTCTAACACCATCTCCGCGTTTCCGTGCAGGCTGTATCCCAATATCAGCGAGCTCCACGCGACTAGACTCGATTTCCTGCTGCTCGAGGCATCAAATATGTGTTTCGCATCGACGCAGCAGCCACATCTGCCATAGAAATCCACCAAAACATTGGCCACGAACTCGTCGCTGTAAAACTCGTCAAAACCGTACCTGGAGAGCTCGCCGTGGATTCTTCTCCCGGAGCACAACGCAGCCAGAGCTCCGCAAGCCATCAAGGCAGCCACGAAAGTCCGGGGATTGGGAAAAACTCGGCCCTGCCTCCTCAGCTCAACGTAAGTTTCCAGAGCCAGCGAGGTCTCGCCCGCCTCGACGTAGCCAAGGATGAGAGAGTTCCACGAGACGACGCTGTGCTGCTCCATCCCCTGGAAAACCCTCCGACAGTCCTCCATGCTTCCACACTTTGCGTACAAGTGGACGAACGTGTTGGCGACGAACAGATCCTTCTCGGCTCCAGTGCTACTGGCTTGAGAGTGTAGCGCCATGGCTTTCTCAAGGCATCCAAGCTTCACGAGCTTCCCACTGTCTTGGACGCCTCTTTCGTTGGCTGCCAGGCACGAGCACGCCATGAGAGCAGCAACAAACGATCGCGAGTCGGGTTCTTCGCCAAGGCTTGTCATGCGAGAGAAAGCCGAGAGAGCTCGCTCTGCCTCTCCATTCTCAACGTAGCCGAAGAGCAAAGAGTTCCAAGCTACGACGTCCCGGACGGCCATCTTCTCGAAAACCTTCTCGGCATCTCGGAGACTCCCGCAGAAGGCGTAGAGCTCGAGCAGCGCAGTGGAAACGTACAAGTCGGAGCTCCAGCCACCTTTCTCTGCCTGTGAGTGAATCGCTCTTCCTCTTGCTAGACTCTCGACTTTGACTATCTTTCCAGAAAGTTTTGTGCCATCTTCTCCGGCTGCCAAGCTTGCACAGGCCTTGATCACCGCGACATAAGTTCGAGCATTCGGCCGAGCACAAGAAGAACTGTCAAGCATCCGAGAGAAAAGCTCCAGAGCTAGCTCGCTTCTCCCATTCTCTACACACCCCATGATCAAAGCAGTCCAAGAAACCACGTCCCTGCCCTGCTGCTCCATCCCCTCGAAGATCCTAAAAGCGTCCACCAAGCTCTCACACTTGGCAAACATATCCACGAAAGAGTTTGCCACGAAAGTATTTCGGTGATCGAGAAGAGCAAAACTCTCGATTTTCACGGCTAAAGCTAGGCTCGTATCTTTAACGATCCTGTCACCGCCATGTTGGTGTGCTTCTTCTTCTCTTACGGCCAAGCTCGAGCAAGCCATGGCCGCCGCAACCAAAGTCCGAGCATCACACCGTCCTTCTGAGCTCCCGGAGAGACGATCGCCTTCTACCATCCGAAAGAAGAGCTCCAGCGCGAGCCCGGGGCGACCATTCTCCGTGTAACCGACGATGAGAGAATTCCAAGACGCGGCACTGTGGACCGGCATTCTCTCAAACGCGGCGATCGCGTCCAGCAAGGCGCCGCATTTGCCATACATGTGACTGGCGCTGTTTGCCACGAAGATAGAATCCTCCGCCAAGCAGCCATCCCTGGCAGCATCGCTGTGGATCCTCTTACCCAATTCGAGCTCCTTGGAGGCGCCGCAGCCCTTGAGCGCCGAAACCACGAGAGATACCTCCGCTGGCTCTAGCGCCGTGAATCCTGGATCTCGGTAAGCGCACCATAGATTCCATAGCCGCGAGAGACAAGCCCTCTTTCTCATCCATCGCCATTCAAAATTTAGGGCTCCATGAACCCAAAAACCTTTCACCCTTAGGGTTCTAACGTTAAAATTTTGATTTTAAAACCCTCAGGGTTTTAGTTAGGGTTCTAGCATTCCCGCCAGAAACCCTAGCGCAGGGGATCGCTCGATCGATGCTGCCGCGCCGCCGCATTCTCGCGCGGTGCTGCTCCTGGCGGCGAGATTCGCGGCGCGACAACCGGCGCCTGTCCTGGGAGGAGCGCGCCAACGCAATCTACCAGCGCGACAGGCACTGGGACAGGGCCGTGAGGTGCGAATCGGCGGCCAACATCGTGAGGAAGGTGATGGCGGTGCTCGAGTCGCGCGACGCGAGCATCATGAGCCTGGAAGACCTCTCGCGCTCCAAGGCCAAGCGGCGCAAGAAGGAGATCATCCGCGAGGTGGCCGCGCGCTTCCCTCTCGTCTTTAAATTCCGGAGGGACGACGACGGCGAGTTTTGGGTGGAGCTCACGCCCGCGGCCGAGGAGATCTTGCGCCAGGAGCACGCCGCCATCGCGCAGCACGACGACATGGAATCGCTCGCCAAGCTCAAGAAGCTCCTGATGATGGCGCGCGACCACCGCATTGGAATGGAGAAGCTCGGCCATCTCAAGCACGATCTCTTCCTCCCGGACGATTTCAAGCGCCGCTTGATCCCCCAGCACCCGGAGAGCTTCCGGATCATCCCCGCCACCACCACCACCACTCCCAAAAGCCTGGGATACGTCGAGCTCGTCGGCTGGGAGCCCGGGCTGGCAGTGACCGCTCGCGAGCTCTCGGCACCGGTCCAAGCACCCCACGCCTTCCAAGTCGATGCTCGGGGCCAGCAGCTCGACCACCCCCGCGTCCAGCGCTTCCAGGAGCTCCCATTCTTCTCGCCATACGAGGACCCCGGGAGGATCGAGTGGAAGAGCCTCGAGGCCGAGAAGCGAGCGCTGGCAGTGCTGCACGAACTCCTGAGCTTGATGCCGATGAAGAAGGCCGTCGTTGGTCGCTTGAATCTCATCCAAAAGGAGCTCCAGCTGCCGGCAAAGTACTTGCATCTCGTCGGCCTCTACCCCTGGATCTTCTACGTCTCCAAAGTCATTCCCGAGAACAACACCATCTTTCTCCGCGAAGGCTTCGACCGATCCAGGCTGAGAGTCCCCAACCGGCTGTCCGCTGCCAGGGACGACCTCCTCCGCCTCATGGAGACCGTCTACGAGAGAGAGCTCGGCGGACCACCTCGGACAGTGACGCTGGAGATCGCCGACGAGGACAAGGAAGATATCGACGATTTCTTCGTGGGTTTTCTTGGTAACCTCCGGGACTTGTAGGGCGGTAAGTTCTCCTCCTCCTGGATCCTGGAAAGATGTCCCCGTTGAGAGTGGCGGCGCAGAGGTTTCTTCGAACTGGGTCCTTGATGCAAACCGTCGAGGAGAATGCGGTCGAGTTTCTCATCCCGCCCACCCATCGAGTCAAGGTACTGGATCAAGTGGCTCTCGAGGACCGCCGGATCGAGGCCGTGAAGCAGCTTGTAAGCCTGGTTGCCGAGCAGGAAGCCCAAGTTCTCATGCTGAAGAAGCGGGACACTAACCGAGATACGCTACTGGGAGTTGCCACCAAGTACCCGGGCGTGTTCCAGGTTCACGACGAGCAGGACGGCCTCGGCAAGTTCATCTCGGGAACCAAGTACATCGACCTTACTCCCGAGATGGACAAGCTTTACAGGGACGAGCTCCGAGTGATCAAGTCGCGGGACGAGCTCCTGTCAGTAAACATCGTCAGGAAGCTGCTGATGATGGCTGTAGAGCAGGAGATATCACTCACCAAGATTTCGTGGCTGGCGGCCGACTTTGGCCTTCCTCGAGACTTGGACACCGGCCTGGTCCACAGGTACCCGAAGTTTTTCAATGTGAGAGAGACCAACCGGGGTCCGGTGCTCAAGCTTGCGTCTTGGGACCAGGATCTCACGGTGACGAGCAGAGAGAAGACGTTGCTGTTTAGCCGGGCCTTCCCAAAGACGGGCTTTCATCTGGTCGAGCGTCCCCGGCGTCGAGGCTCCAAAACCTTCCAGAGGTTGGAGTTTCGGTCCCCTTACGAGCCTTGGCAGAAGCCGAACGTCAGCAAAGGATCCCCGGTTGTCGAGAAGAGACACATCGGTGTCGTTCACGAGGTGCTCAGCCTGCTACCGAGGAAGAGGATTGCTCTCTCCAAGCTGACGCTGTTGAGGGCCGAGATGAATTTGCCGAAGACGTTCTGCTCGTATCTGGTGAGACACCCCGGCATTTTTTACGTGAGCGGTGCCGTCGAGCCTCCACTGGTTTTCTTGAGAGAGGCCTTCTTCCAGAACGAGCTCAAGTTCAAAGGTCCCGAGGATTTCATCCGCGACAGGTACCTGATCCTCATGCAGCGCCAACCGGTCCTTGACGAGACCAGCTGAGAAAAAAATCGTTGTTCGCCTCTCGAGCTGCTTAGAAGAATGGATCGTTGAAACCGTCGAATGGTTTCTTCTCCCAGAATGGTTTGGACACGCGCTTCTTCCTCTTTCGTTCCAGCGGCGGCTCCTCCTGCGGACTGGGCTGAAGTGCCTTCCAGCTCCAGGAATCACCACCACCTCCTCCACCGATACTGACTTGTCGCCTTTCGTCGTCAGAGTTTTCGTCATCGCTACAAAATCCCAGCTTCGCTCCCAGACTTGGCTGCTTTCCAGGTGTTACAGAAACATCTTTCGGACTTTCATCCTCGTCATCGAAGCCCAGTTGCAAAAATATCTCTGAATCTGGTACTCTATCTTCAACAGCTGTTGCAGGCGCTACCGATTGTCTTCCTTCTTCGTCGGATTTCTCGTCGTCACTGAAAAGTCCGAGCTTCTTCAGGATGACAGCTCGAGAACGAGGATTGGCACCATTCGTCAGCGGTGCATTTGCTCCCTTGACAGGATCCACTACTGTTGCTGCTTCGACCACCTCGGCAACTTTAGCCTGTGACACGTCTCCTTGACGAGTTTGTAGAGCGCATCCTTGCGGAGCCGGAGGAAATGGGAAGCTCCAACCAGTTTCCGACACTGGCTGCCGTGGCGCGACAAAGCTTTCCGCACAGATGCCTCTCACTTCCCTCGGACGGCTCTCCCTGAACACCCTGAAGTCCATAAGCCTGCCAAACTCTTGCTTGATGGTGAAGAGAGGATGCTTCTCAATAAGTTGGCCCTTCCGGTAGTACTCCTTGAGGAAGACGACGTGCCGATCGCCCCTCATGCTCACGTAGAAGATGTGAGGGAAGCGGCAGAGCATGTCTTCCAGCTTCTGGGGAAGACCAAGATCACGAGTGAAGAACCCGACGTGATCTACGTACGCTTTCTTCTCGACTGTCAAGCTGAGGAACTCGTGAAAGATGGCAACCACACGCTTCTGTCCTTCCATGGACCGGAGGTCGAGCTCGGCGACAGCCTCGTAGGGGCTTGGGAACGGAAGCCGCTGGAAGCTCAAGATCCTCTTCAGAATGCTACGGTGGAGAACGGTGTGTGGCTCAACGCAGATCCTGAAGCTGTACTTGTCACGATCTCCAGCCTTGCCGCCACCTTTCATCCTTTGGTTGAGCTCTCTGGTGGTAACAGCGAGAGCTTTATCGTATGCTGCTAGCTCCAAGTAAGCTCCGGTGACCGTAAAGTACTGCGGATACTTTGGCAGGATGGCCGTCTTAAAGTTGTCAGGCATCCACAAGCTCGATCGTATGTGAGAGAGCTTCGTGAGAAGAACTCGATGCGCGGGCACCATCATCAAGATCTTCCTCAGGTTCCGGACGATGAGAGGCTCGTGGTATTCCCTCATAACTTTTTCTTCCTGGTCGATCAGGAGCTCCGCCTTCTCTGTAAACTCGAGCCATCTTACTCGCCTGTCCTCCTGGTCGCTGGAGATCTTAAAAACTCCTGGGAAGCTATTGACGAAATCCGCAAAGAGCTTGGCCTTTGGAAAGCCGAGGTCTCTGGCTAGCCTAGTAAACTCCGTGGACGGTATCACATGCCCATCTCTGGACGCTAGAATGAGCTTCACGTTCCATACCATTCGCATTCTCGTCTCCCGCCGGAGATGGACGTCCAGAGCTGCAATCTTTGGCCTCTGGCTGAGCTGCTTAGCTCGGATCTGCTTTCTGACCTTCTTGGCGAAGTTCTTCCTGGCCCTTGCCATGCTCTTCTTTGCTCCTCCCATGAATCTCTTTTGGATTCTCCACGGAGTGCTCGAGACAGTGGGAAATATCTGGGGCACAAGCAATCTCGCGGCCCCAGCACATGGAAATACTCGACCGCAGCAGTGTAGCCGACGATTTTGCGACGAGAAGATCGTTCGAAGAGGCAATGGCGATCCATCCCGAATCGATCTTGCTGCTCCAGACCCTGGAAATATTCCAGCGCAGCCGTGTAGCAGGCGATCCCCGGGCGAAAATGCTGGACGGGGAGGCGACGGAGCTCCATCTCGCAGCGATCTAGGGCATGGCAGGAGGAGCCTCCGCGCGCCTAGGCGCTGCATTCTCCCATACCTCTCGGCGCCATTCCATGCCATAAACCCTTAGGGCACCCAAAGGTTTTACTCTGTTACCGATAATATTCTAAAGAATATCCCCTGGCAGAGAATATACGATTGGGCATATTACCGCACAGCAAGAGAGCATAGAGTTCCTCTTCTCCGTTTCTTCCGCTGCTTTGGCGCCGTAGTAGCTACTAGCCGTTCTTTGATCGATTCCTCCCTTTTCCCCAGATTCCTCCTCAAGTAGGCGCTCCAGCGCGAGAGATTCTAGCGGCGCTAGCGAATTTCTTCCCCGATTGTCTGCCGGGAGTGGCGAAACTCGTGGCGCATTGCAGATATTTCGAGGCCGTCGGCGAAGAGCGCGTGGATCGATATTTCTTGGCATTTTTCCCTTGTTCTAGGCTAGGTCGAGCAAGCGCGCGGCGAGAGGGGTGGGATTTCGGGAGAATCGATGGAGCAAGGGCTATGGGTGTGCGATTCGTGTACGTTCCACAATGCGGCGGTCCAGCGCGTGTGTGCTATGTGCGCCCAGCTCCGGACGACGCAGGGAATGCACTACTTTGGAGATCTCTACAGGGCATCGACGAGCGCGGCCGCCGATGCTGCTTCCACCGCCGCCTCCTCCACGCCGGAGAGGTCGAATGGCTTCTCCGTGTGTAGCGTCCCTCGCCTCGTCGCGGGGGCTCTCTCGGGAGCGCTCACGGGGATGTTCGCCATAGGTAAGTCTTAGAACGTAAAATTTTTGATCGATCGACTTAAGATCCAATTGTGTTTGATTTTTTGTTTGTTTCTCTTCAGTGGGAGCTCTCACTGGAGCAGTGACTGGCGCTGTGGCGGGGCGGGCGACTGATAGTGGGCTGATTCGTGGAGCTGGGCTTGGGGCCGTCGCTGGAGCCGTGCTCTCGGTGGAGTTTCTCGAGGCTTCTCGTGCTTACTGGCACTCTGAGCGATCCGGTTCACGATCCAGGGCGTCACTGGTGAGTCTTTCTTCCACTCGTTTATTTCTCTTGGCTTCTCTTTTGGAAATCTCACGTGTGGTCTGGGCTTGCATTTCATCCGATCGTGAAAGGAAACTCATGCATTCTTCCTGGCTGGGATATCGTTATGTTCTTTGCTTGGATTGCTCGGGCAAGTTTAAAGTTTTGGTTTTGCTGCTTTGCTTGCTCGCTTTTGCTCGCTCGCTTTTGCCTTCCAGCTAGCTTTCCTGTCGTCGTTTTCGTTCGTTGCTTGCTGCGATATCTTTCGCACAAGTTTGGATAAAGGTGTGATCTTTGCTCGTCTCCTTGCGTTTCTTGTTTCTTCTCTTTTCACTTCTCGGGTGTTACGTCCTTTTGTGCGCTTGTAGGCAGAGTTTGTGGAGGACGTCTTAAACGGCAGGTTCATGCACGATCAGGTTGGCCCAGCATTATTGACTGCACACCATTGGCAGGTTTTTTGTGCTTTTTTTTCCAGAGAGAAAAAAAAATTCTTCTCTTTTTTCCGAGGAGAAAAGTAGCAATAGCTATAGATAGATAGATCTCAGATCATCAGGAACTTTTGGATTGCTTTCTGCCGTGGCTAACTCAAGCAAATTCCAGGTGAACATTGACGACATGACTTACGACGAGCTGTACGACATGTTTGGCCCCGCCGAAGGGACCAAAGGAGCGTCCGAGGCTTGTCTCAAGGAGCTCCCATGGCACACGGTGACCACCGAGAACTGTGTGGATGGCTTCGGCGACTTTGTGTGCTGCGCGATATGCTTACAAGTAAGCGCACGCCTATCCCGATATCTCCTTTCGCTTTCGCAGAATTTACTATCGCAGAGATAGAGTGCAGAGCCATGCTTGCTTGCTCGCTTTCCTTTTCTTCGCCATGGTTTCTTGTGTTTCGTGCATTCAATGCTGGTGGGTCTGTCACTCCGGGGATCATTTAAGTCGCTGCTTGAGTTGGAGTGATCGACTGATTGTTCGTGCCTGGCGTCTGTTTGAATCGATGGATCGACCACTAAAGCTCGAACTTTTGTGCTCTTTTTTCGCTGCTCTGTTGGGGAAAAAAAAAACTCTAGGAGCTTCAAGGTGGGGAGATTGCGAGGTGTTTGCCACACTGCCAACACACGTACCATATGGACTGTGTCGATAAATGGCTGGCGAGACATGGCTCTTGTCCTGTGTGTCGGCAGGGAATCTGACGGGATGCGCTCCCAGAATATGCCCTGACCCAACTGTACATAGTTTCATTCCTCCGCAGGGATTTTTTTGTGTATTCCAGTGCTATCGCGATGGCCGGATGCGTTTAATTAAAGCATTGTTAGTCTAATCATGGTCTTGATTCCCTCCAAGCTTAATATTTCTAGGGCTTTTGGGCATGGCGTGGGCGGATCTTCTCCAGTCCCCCTCCGCCGCAACGGTGAGCGCCGCGCTGTGGGTTCTTGATCGATGTAGTGATTGCGGATGGTTATGATCGGCAGGGAGCGGCTCTTGTGGGATTCTTGAGCTTGCTCGCATTGCTGGAGGCTGTTCTTCCCGGGCAGCGCGTGTCTGGGGTGGAATTGGCGGACGGGACGCGGATAATCTACAAATGCAATGGTCAGATCGATTGCATTTCGAGCTTCTTTTCTGATTTCTTGCTGGGAATGTAGGTTTGCTGTCGCTTGTGGTGCTCTTGGCGCTCCTGGGAGCGGCGGTTCCTCCAACGGTGCGTATGCTTAGCAATGCGGTACTTTGGTGGAAGTGGAATATTTTTTCTATAATCTGACATGATGGGAGCTTAGGTTCTTGCGGATCGTGGACCGGAGCTATTCTCGACAACTTTGACACTTTGTGTCCTGGTAAGCGATGATAAGAGGATTTCTTACGTTGACTCAAAAGCTACTTTCAGCTGTCGATTGTTCTATGCCTGGCTGGCTACGCATCCAAAAGTCCAAGCAGCTCTTTGAAATGCCAGTCTTCCGGAAATGCTCTTCACGACTGGTAATGGTGTTTGAGATTTCTAGTGAGCAGTAGTAACTTGATGCGTAATGCTACAGGTGGCTTGGGCTTCAACTAAATCCTCAGTTTCTTAGCATTGACATCAAGTATGTTGCTTTTCCTTTCTCTTTCTTTCGTTTCTTTCGTTCATAGAATCCTCATGGTGATTGTTGCAGATTTTTCTGGATAAAGGCTGGAATGATCAGCTGGCTCCTGATAAATTTTTCAATCGCAAGCAAGCAGATCGAACAGGCCGGATTCCTGACTCTTCCAATGGCTTTATACCAAGTTTTCTGCACGGTAAGACGGTGCATTTGATGCTTTACAGTGCGTAATTTATGCTTCTGCTTGGTACAGATCTACGTGCTGGATTTTTTGTGGTACGAAGAATACATGACCTCAACGTGCGTACTTGTGCTTTACTTCACAAGAGTATCTGAGACTTTAATTTTCACTTTGTCTGCAGGTGGGACATTATTGCGGAGAAGTTTGGCTTCATGCTAATTTTTGGTGACATGGTTTGGATTCCCTTTACGTTTAGCATCCAGGTATGGATTTTGTGAAGCATAATGGGGCCCCATGCAAGTATATGTAGGGATGGTGGCTGCTTCATAACAATGCGGAAATCACTCGAATGGCTGCATTTTTAAATGCTCTTGTCTTCTTGGCAGGGTATTGTTTCTCCAGTTTTACTTATTACGCTGAAGCTTGATTGTTCCAGGTATGCAATATTTAGAGGTGCAAACAAGCAAAAGCACGAGTTCAAGAAGAACCCAAAGGCTCCAATATGGGGGAAACCACCTGTTCTCATCGGAGGAAAACTTCTCGTCTCTGGATACTGGTGAGTAATAAATGTAGACAGAATTCCACCTCACATTTGTCGAATTTATAAAGGGGGATTGCAAGACACTGCAACTATCTAGGCGATTTGCTTCTGGCTTTATCGTTTAGTCTTCCTTGCGGGACCAGGTACCTGGCATAGCTATGTCGATCAATTCTCAAACTTTGTTTTCTCTGTGCAGCTCGATAGTTCCATATTTCTACCCCATCTATTTGTTCATTCTTCTCGTCTGGAGAGAGCGACGAGACGAAGCAAGATGCAGAGCCAAGTACAAAGCTGTGTGGGAAGAATACTGCAAGGCGGTGCCATGGAGAATTTTCCCCAGGATCTATTGATCAGTTAAGCTAAGGTCGCTTGAAAGCGACATTTGGAATCTCATGCCAGTCGACACGTGGAAAGGTTACGCTGGTTAGTTGTGGTGGAGGAGCGAGCACAGGTTTCTTTAGCTAGACGCAGGTGTAGAGAACAGGAGAGGCTCCTGGGATGTGGAAGCTGATTCTTGTGGGATGTGGGATCTGTGGAGCTTATTTTGCCGGAAGAGTGGGAGTTTGGAAGCTCAAGGAGCAGGTTGCAAAGAACGCAGCTGGGGCTGAATCGTCACCCATGACAGTCATTGCAAAAGGTGTTTTGTGCGTGCAGGATCACATCGGACCTTGGTCGGCCGCGGATGTTGTACTTGGTCTTGCGGCCATGGCAAAGGTAAGCTCTCTTTCTTTCGTATTGTTTACATTCTTGGAAGGAAGCTTATGGTTTGTGACAACTTGTAGATCACCGAAAACGATCCCATGGAAATTCCTGGTCATCCAAGTGAGTTAGCGAGCGATCCCGAATTTATGGTAAGAGCACAACACTGGAGAGCAATGGCTGAAGCCGTCTACGTCGCAGACCCGGCCTCGTTCTCGCTCTTCTCGCATCTGCCCGAGTCTTCCATAGTCACAGCCGTGTGGAATCCCGAGCAGGAGTCCATGCGGCCTGCGTTTGCTCTCTCAGTGGATCACTCGTATGGAGCACTGGTTCTCTCGGTACGTGGGACTTCTCACGTGATTGACATCCTTGTCAGTGCAGGAGCCATGCCAGCTCCGTTCGAGTCCGGGCATGCACACGGCGGATTTGCTCGGGCGACAGACGCACTCCTGGAAGAAGTGAGGCCGCACATCCGGCAAGTTTTACAGGAGGACAGCTGCCTGGAGAAGCTGGTTATAGTCGGGCACAGCATGGGAGCAGCAGTGGGGATCATGTGTGGACTGAAGCTGCGAGACGAGCACCGCAACCTCGAGTGCTGGGGCTTCTCGGTGCCGGCCAGCGTCAGCTTGGAGCTGGCCAAGGAGTGCGCCAGCTTCGCCACCTCCTTCGTCTGCTTGCACGACGTCGTCCCCCGATTCTCCGTGGCTTCCATCGAGGACCTCCGCAAGCGAGTGTGCAACTTCGACTGGAAGAGAGCCGACGAGATCGCCAACCACGACGAGGACTGGCAGAAGATCTCCAGGGCGGTGGACGCAATGCAGATGTTCCAGAGAGCCCAGGACAACGTGGACGATTTCGGAAGCAGGGTGTGCAGCGAGCTGAGCGGAGGTGGATCAAGCGAGCAAAAACAGGGAAGTTCTTGCGAGGAGGGAAAGTGCGAGGGTGAGAGCTCCATCGAGAAGAAGGGGCCCGTGGTTCTGTATCCGCCAGGGAGGCTGCTGGTTCTAAGCAGCAGTCCGCCAGGGTGTGGAGTAACTCCCGGCCAGCGATCCGGCGTCGCCGAGCAGAGAAACTATGGAGCGTTTCCCACGTTCGAGCAGGCCAAGAATGTGGAGTGGACGATGCACGAGGCGTCGCCGGATGAGTTCTCGCAGATGATTCTCTCGCCGTGGGCTGTCTCGGATCATGTGCTGGGAAACGTTTGCGAGGGGATCAATTTCTTCGTGAAGAAGAATAGGAAGAAGTAAGAGCGCGAATCTCAGAGCATATTCCAGGAATATTAAGTTTATAGGGTTTATAAAAGTTTGTGAGAGTATGCTAAGGTTTATTCTCTTTCCTGGAATATTAAATAGCATATTCTAAGAATATTTAACTCTCTTAGCTATTTAAGCTTTTATTCTCTTAGCTCGCAGATCTCATCTCTGAGTCGTGAGTTTTCCGAACCTCACCCTCAGAGAGCCCGTCCTGAAGAGCTCTTCATTGATGAAGAGCTTTGCAAGATGTTACAGGATTTCCTGATGTCATCTCCACCGCAGTCTCGGTCAAGTTCGGGGGCGACGCATGTCCAAGCTGCCACCGCAAGCTCGGAAGATCGACTGATGGAGTTTCTGGCCTGTTTCCTTGGAAAGGCTTCTGGGACCGAAGACCGGTGTTCATGGCACCCAAGATTTTTCTTATGCATCTCTGTTTTTTTTTGTTTTTTTTCTTTCTAGGTGCACAAGGAGGAGTCGATACGTCTTGTAAATGAATGAGGAGCTGCGAGCCGTTGTAGAGGAGCCAAGCGTCACTCCAGAGATCGCCACTACGATCAGGATACTGCTCGAAGGCAAGAACGAAGACAAAGTTCCCGGGATCCAGAAGTTATCGTCCTTGAGGACTGTAAGTGGTCCCCTTCGAGTTTACTGGCTTCTAGGTATGCGTGCGCTCTGGAAGAGATGTTCATCTTCCGGGAGAGAACACAGGAGAGCCTCCAGACGCTTACTCCTCTCACGGATTCCTTCGATCAGGTTTGGATTTCCTCGAGTGTAGCTGATGGCTTTGTCCCAGTTGATGCAGGGCGTTTTCTCCAGGCAGCAGATTCTCGTTCTTGGCCTGTTTCGAAGGGAAGTTCTTACATTGAGCTACGAGGTCGTGAAGTAAACACGCATGGCTTCCAGTTCAGATAACAGCCGAGATGGGATGGGGTGTAAGAGAAACACATCAAAGCACAATCTTCGCAATGGGGAGCTGTCTGGAATACCGAAAGCTGCAGCAGACGCCATGCGTACTTGGATCTACGACCATTTTGACAATCCGTAAGGTTTTTTTTGTTTTATTTTATTTTAGTTCTAGAATTAATCAGGAATTTAACTTGCAGGAGACCGGGCAAGAGCCAGAGACAAGAATTCTCGAGACAATGGAATATAACAATGAGTCAGGTTGACAATTGCTTTGCCAACGCGAGAGTGCCATTGGTATATGTGATACGAGCTTTTCAAGCTGGAATCTGAGTTTTTTTCTTCTTCCTCATCTTTTAGGCCCACGAACTATATAGACTTGCACTTGGCGAGGCTGAACCTAACACAGTTCTTTAGAATGAGTTATTAGAAATCTTGTTTTCTTGCAGGTCCACAAAATAAAATAAAATGTGAGACCAGATTGCTATTTACCGGCGAACGAATCGATTTACACGTCCGCTTTGTAATCCATCTTGAGCACAAGATGATCAAGCATGCAATGAAAACACGGAGACATTTATGTTATTCTGAATCCAATAAAGGTGGTAAAAGGTTAAAAGCAAATATTTGGAAGTTTAGGGTTCTTATTCAGAATATAGCACACTGACCGCTCTTGTGCTAGTGGTGCAAGCTCTTTTACCATTGAAGAATTTTTGGAGCAACTCCTGGATTTTTGGATATACAGGTTGAACCAAAAAGCCAATAAAAACCATATTATGGATCCCTCAGCCACTTTTCCATGGGCTCCATGTGCAGAAGGTGGTATTGAAGCCAAATACCATCAAACAGTGAGTCAATCTCAAGGGTGGGTTGGGTAGTTGATAAGAGCATCCTTTTTGGACTCAAGTGCTCTGGGATTGCTGCTGATGCCTTTCTTCCTTTTGAACTCTTGGATGAAATGGTACGCAATCATATTATGGTACAACACCGCAATATATCCACATTCTTCTTGTCCTCATTATTATTGGACTCATAAGATGCATATGATGGAGTTGATTTCTCTTCTAAATGAGGAGCTGTGAGATGTTGTAGGGCTGCCAAGTGTTACTCTAGAGATCGTCGCTACAATCATGATGCTGCTCCAACCAAGGCAAGAACAATGACAAAGTTCCCATGAACCAGATATTATCATCTTTGAGGACTCAACTCCAAATTTACTGGCTTAGAGAAGATTTAAGCTCGTTAATGCAGAGGTATGTGTGCACTCTGGAAGATCTATATTCATCCACCGGGAGAGACCTCACTAGAGTCCAACTTACTCCTCTCCTGCATTCCTTCAGTCAGGTTTAGATTTCCCCTGAGTGTAGCTCTGATGGTTTTTGTGCCAGTTGAGGCTGGTGGTTTTCACCAAGCAGCAAAGTTTCATTCTTGGCCTCTTTCAAAGGGAAGTTTTCATATTGAGCTACGAGGACTTTAACTTGAAGCAAGTGTCAGGAAGAAGAATTCTCAGAGGCAATGGAATATATTATAACAGGGAGACTGGGTTGACGATTGGTTTACGAACACCTTGCTATAGTTTCAAGCTGGAATCTGAGGGTAATGTTTTTTCATTTACGGGCTCTCGAGCTCAACAAACTTGCACTTCGCGAAGCTGATTCTAACACATGCATGGATTCAGAGGACAAGTGAACCTTTTGGATGAGTGATTAGAAATCTATATAGATATCGATATGACCAAAAATTTATGTAAAAAGTAAGGTGGAAGTGGGCACTGGCCGAGGTCATTTCCCTGGTTTGTTCTCATTGCTTCATTTTCTTTCCTAGGTGTAGGTCTCGACTCAATGCAGCTCTTTCAGATCGATCTTCTTCCAGGTGAGCAAGAAAGAAAAAAAAATTCTTTTCATCTCCAGACTGCACTACATAATTGGGTTTCTTTCCACATATGAGGTCATGGATCTCCTCGCCAAGTTTTCCAAACCTCCCCCTCATAATGAAGATGAAAAGATTTGCCAGATGTTTCTCCTCGTGTCTCCGCAATCTCGATTGAGTTACGCCACTGTAGGAAGTCCCCTTGCAAATGCCAAGGATCTGGAGCTCCTGAAAAGGGAGAGGTCTGTTTCCTTGGAACTGATTCTTGAAGAACTGGAAAAAGCACAATGAAAGCTCCAACCATGCAAAAGAGACACTGGTGAGAAGATTGATGCAAGATCTTCTTCATGTTTACTATGTTTTATCTATGGAGTTGATTCGTATTCTAGATGAAAAGCTACGAGCTGTTGTGGGGGAGCCAAGCGTCATAGTCCTTGAGGACTGTAAGTGGTCACCTTCAAATTTTTCTGGCTTGATTCAGTCGGGTTTGGATTACCTCAAGTATAGATTTGATGGTTTTTTGTGCCGGTTGAGGCAGGATGTTTTCACCCAGTAGATTCTCATTTTTGGCCTCTTTCAAAGGGAAGTTTTTGCATTGAGCTACGAGGTCCTGAACAAGAACACATGCATGGCTTCCAGTGTACTGATTGTGTCTTGATAAGCC